TATTGGGATGAGATAAGCAGCCGTTAGTCTTTAGTAGGAATGTGTGTAGTGCCACAGTAGTATAAGTGTAAACAAGTAATCGGTTAAAGTGAATACGTTATGCTGCTATAATGCTCTTCATGTGATTAGTGAGGTGTTATAAGCATATTCGGTCGCGAAATGAGTCTGCATAGGAGCATGATATTTTAGCATCTCCGACACGCGTAATAGCCGGGTATGCCGTCTTCGGAAGTCGTGCGGCGAAATATTGTTCTCGCGGAATAGTACGGAAGTGGTGATAGTAGTCGAAGTAGAATTGGAACATGATCTTTGATGTTCTTCTAGGGAGAGTAGTGCTATATAGAACAGGCTACGATAGACAAAAAGAAGGGCTAGTGTTCGTAATGTGTACACTGTACAGGTCAGCCGAGGTTAGCATACTTTATATCGACCAGTAGCATGAAGCGGGTTGTTTGTAAGAGTTTGGATTTCACTCCAAGCTACACTCATCTCCGTCGGAGAGATATAAGACACATGGGAGGAACATTTTTTGTGTTACTCGGAACTGCAGGGGCTAGTAGGTGTGACACATGTCGATCATATGCTGTGCAGTGGCTAGAAGACTGTGTAATGTGGGCTTGTATAACGGTAACAGATATTTGTTTGTGAGACCATAGTGCTGGTGTTTGAGTAACGGGCCGAATACGATGTTTACGACGAGGAGCAACATAGTGGGTTTATAAAAAGGTCTGCATAAGCATCATTGGTAAGAACTTTACGTAGCGTGATTGTTCGAATTACTAGGAATATATTACGTTTGTCCAAGACTGATGATTAAGAGATAATGATGGACGTGCAAATCGCGATGTCGGAGTGTTTCGAAGTGACTCGGTGAGAGTGAGGTATGAAGTCATGTACTGCAAACGTTATTAGTTCAGTGTCGGAGAGCGGTGTGGTTTATATGTGTGTCATGTGAGCAATGTATATAGCCGTAAACGTGAGTGTAGGAGTGAATTGAATGAATATTTCATATCGTGATTGAATGGAGAGTGCAAGATGTTATGGAATGAGTATCCAATCTGAAATGATTCTATGTGGCTTGATTAGTTCGTTATGCAAGGAAGTGAGTACGGTGAAGTGGGTACGGAGTATGTCTGACAAACTATGTGGCGATTAGTGAGGGTCGTTATGTGTGTTGTGTCGGATGTTGTGGGTGCTAAGTTTGAACTGGGAACTGACTGAAGGATGTAGTACGCTGTCTACATTTCATTCCATGGAGAGTCTCCGTTGGAGACATGTTTGACGAAAAGTGATCAGCATTTAGAATCGTAACATCGTACTAATGTTTCCTGCTTATGTTAGTGTTCGGTGTATCTAACTCATTTTGTAATGTGTGTCATGTCTAAGGG